TTTGGTCTCTGGTGAGGGCCCATTTCCTGTTTTACAGGCAGTGCTTTCTTGCTGCCCCCACACAGTGGAAGGGCAAGAGATCTCTCTAGAGTCTTTTTCTTGTTTTAGGACACGGTCTTGGTCTGTCACCCAGGCTGTACTGCAATGGCTCACCGTACCTCCCTCCCACCTCAGCCTCCCATGTAACTGGGACTATAGGTGCACACCACTATGCCCAGCTAATTTATTTTCTTTTCTTTTTTTTTTGGAGAGATGAAGTCTATGTTGTCCAGGCTGGTCTCAAACCACTGGCTTCAAGCAATCCTCCCACCTCAGCCTTCCAAAGTGGTGAGATTACAGGAGTGAGCCAACAAGCTCAGCCCTTGCAGTCTCTTATAGAACACCAGTCTCATTCACAAATATTCTTCCCTCATGAACTAATCACGTCCCAAAGGCTCCACCTCCTAATACCATCACCTTGGGGGTTAGGATTACAACATATGAATTTAGGGGCGACATAAAACATTCAGTCCATTGTAACAGTCAATTCAATTTTTGATTATGTTAATGCCAGAACAAAGCAGAGGAAACACAAGACAAATATCCCACTATACGCCATGAGACGTGCATTAACAGAATGCCACCGTACATGGCTTTATGTTTTTCATTTTGGACAGAGTCTCACTCTGTTGCCCAGGCTGGAGTGTAGTGGTACAATCAGGACTCACTGCAGCTTGGAACTCCTGGGCTCAAGTGATCCTCCTGCTTCAGACTACCAAGTAGCTGGAATGACAGGTGCATGCTACCACGCCTGGCTATATTTTTTAAATATAATTTTAGAGTCAGTATATGCGCAGGTTGGCTACATGGTTACACTATAATGGTGAGGTTTGGGCTTCTAATGTACCCATCACCCAAATAATAAACAATATACCCAACAGATAATTTTTCAACCCTCACTCCCCTCTCCTTCTATACCCTTTTGAAGTCCCATTGTCTATTAATTCAGCCTTTATGTCTCATCATTTAGCTCCCACTTCCAAGCAGGAACATGTGGTATTTGATTTTCTGTTTCTGAGTTATTTCGCTTAGGACAATTACCTATCAGCCTCCAGCTCTATCAATGTCGATGTGAAATACATGATTTCATTCTTTTTTTTGTTTTTTTCTTGAGACAGGGTCTAGCTCTGTCACTCACGCTGGAGTGCAGTGGCACGATCTTGGCTTATTGCAACCTCTGTTTCCTGGGCTCGAGCTCAAGAGATTCTCATGCATCAGCATCATGAGTAGCTGATACTACAGGCACACATCACCACACCTAGCTAATTTTTGTATTTTTGGTATTGACAGAGTTTCATCATGTTGACCAGGCTAGTCTGGAACTCCTGACCTCAAGTCATCTGCCTGCCTCAGCCCCCAGCATTTCATTCTTTTTTTATGACCAAATTTTATTCAATTTTATTTATCCATGCAACTGTTGATGGACACTTAGGTTGATTGTATGACTTGGCAATTGTGGATAGGGTTGCAATAAACGTTCAAGAGCATGTCTTTTTTTTTTTTTTTTTTTTTTTTTTATGGTGATTTCCTCTGAGTAGATAACCAGTAGTGGGATTGCTGAATTAAATAATTCTATTTTTAGTTCTTTCAGACATCTCCATTCTGTTTTGCTCAGAGGTTGTACTAATTTACATTCTCAGCAACAGTATTTATGTTCCCGTTTTGCTGCATACTTGTCAACACCTGTTGTTTTCAAATTTTTTTTTTTTTTTTTTTTTTGAGACTGCATTTCACTCATGTTACCTAGGTTGGAGTGCAATGGTGCAATCTCGGCTCACCACAACCTCTGCCTCCTGAGTTCAAATGATTCTCCTGCCTCAGCCTCCCATGGAGCTGGGATTACAGGCATGAGTCACCACACCCAGATAATTTTGTATTTTTAGTAGAGATAGAGTTTCTCCATGTTGGTCGGGCTGGTCTCAAACTCCTGTCCTCAGGTGATCAGCCCGCCTCAGCCTCCCAAAGTGCTGGGATTACCAGTGTGAGCCACTGAGCCTGGCTGATTTTTTAATAGTAGCTATTCTAAAATAGTGTCAGATGATATCTTATTGTGGTTTTAATTAGTCTTTCTCTGATGATTATGATGTTATTTCTTCATAGGTTGTTTGGCTGCTTGTATGTCTTCTTTTGAAAAATGTCTGTTTATGTTCTTTGCCCACTTTGTAATGGGGTTGTTTGTGTTTTTCTTGTTGAGTTCCTTGTAGATTCTGGGTATTAGTCCTATGCCAGAGGCATAATTTGCTAATAATTTCTCACATTCTGTAAGTTGCCTTTTACATATGTTGGTTATTTTTTTTGCTGTGCAGGAGCATTTTAGTTTAATTAAATCCTATTTGTCTGTTTTTGTTTTTGTTACATTTGCTTTTGATGATTTAGACACAAACACTTTGCCTAGGCCAATATTCAGAAGAGTTTTTCCTGGGTTTTCTTCTATAATTTTTCTAGTATCAGGTTTTACATTTAAGTATTTAATCCAACTTAATTTTTGCATAAAGTGAGAGATAGGGGTTCCATTTTATTTTTCTGGATATGGCTAGCCTATTCTCTCGGCACCATTTATTGAATAGGTGATTTCTTCCTTGAATAGGTCTTTCCTTTATTGTTTATTTTTCTCAACTTTATCAAAGATCAGTTGCTTGTAGGCATATGACTTTATTTCTGAGTTCTCCATTCTGTTCCATTGATCTGATCCTGTTTTGTACCAGTACTATGTTCTCGTAGTTACTATAGCCTTGTAGTATAGCTTGAAGTCAGGTAATGTGATGTCTCCAGCTTTGTTATTTTTGCTTAGGATTGCTTTGGCTATTCGAGCTCTTTCTTGATTAGGATTGTTTTTTTCTAATTCTGTAAAAAATGACATTGGTAATTTGACAGGAATTGCACTGAATTTGCAGATTACTTTAGGCAGTATTGTCACTTTAACAATATTGATTCTTTCCATCTGTGAGCATGGTATGTTTTTTCACGTGTTTATGTCAACCACAATTCCTTTCATCAGTGTTTTGTAGTTATCCATGTACAGATCTTTCACCTCCCTGGTTAATCTGTGTGTGTGTCTACTGTAAGTGTCATTGTGTTCTTCATTGGTTCTCAGCTTAAATGTTAAATGCTTTCAACTGTTTCCCATTCAGTATGGTGTTGGCTGTGGGTGTGCCATAGATGGCTCTATTTATTTTGAGGTATGTTACTTTGATGCATAGTTTGTTGAGGGTTTTTATCATGAAAAGATGTTGGATTTTACTGAATGCTTTTTCTGCATCTATTGAGATAATCGTATGATTTTTGCTTTTAATTCTCATTAGTACAAGGTATTTTGAAAGAGATATTGAAAACAGGAGGGTAAGAGAAGGGTAATAAATGAAAAAATGGAAGTATTAAAGAAAAACCATTCATTTACTTACTTCAAAAACTTTGCTGAGGGCTAACATCAATCTTAATATTGAAGCTTTAAAATTACCTTGTATTTCAAAGACCTCTGAGAAATGTATTTCATTTGACAATGTTATCCCAGGTTTAAGAATATAAAGTCTGCATATTGAGCACAACTTACCAAATGTTGATTTGAACCATTATTATTGTTTCTAATAAAACTCTCATTAACATCTTTTATTTGTTGACTGTGTTTGTCTTCCAGGTGGTAGGTGATGGAGACAGAGAAAGAGAGATAAAGAAATACAGAGGGATATCTTGTTAACTCAGAGATATTATAATAAATCCTCATGAAGAAAATCATGGGCAAGATTGCCAAATAGGAACAGCTCCAGTCTGCAGCACCCAATGAGATCAACACAGAAGGCAGGTGACTGCTGCATTTCCAACTGAAGTACGCAGCTCATCTCATTGGAACTGGTTAGACAGTGGGTGTAGCCCACAAGGGCAACCCAAAGCAGGATGGGGCATCGCCCCACACCCGGGAAGCACAAGGGGTTGCAGAATTGTGTCCCCTAGCCAGGGTAAGCCAGGAGGAATTGGGCCATGAGGAACAGTACATTCTGGCCCAGATACTACGCTCTTCCCACAGTCTTTGCAACCCACAGACCAGGAGAAGATTCCCTCGGGTGCTTCTACCTCTAGGGCCTGGGTTTCAAGCACAAAACTAGGCAGCTGTTGCAACAGACACTGAGCTAGCTGCAGGAGTGGTTTTTTATACCAAAATGACGCCTGGTACGTCAGTGAGACAGAACTGTTTGCTCCCCTGGGAAGGGAGCTGAAGACAGGCAGCCCAGTGGTCTAACTCAGCAGATCCCACCCCCACGGAGCCCAGGAAGCTAAGATCCACTGCTTGAAATTCTCACTGCCAGCACAGCAGTCTGAAGTTGACCTGCCATGCTCAAGCTTGGTGAAGGAAGGTGCATGTTCTTCATTACTAAGGCTTGAGTAGGCAGTTTTCTCCTCGCAATGTAAACAAAGCTGTAGGGAAGTTCCAAATGGGTGGAGCCCACTGCAGCTCAGCAAAGCTGCTGTAGCCAGAGTGCCTCTCTAGATTCTTCCTCTCTAGGTAGGGCATCTCTGAAAGAAAGGCAGCAGACCCAGTCAGGGGCTTATAGATAAAATTCCCATCTCCCTGGGACAGAGCATCTGGGGGAAGGGGAGGCTGTGGGTGCAGCTTCCGCAGACTTAAACATTCCTGCCTGCCAGCTCTGGAGAGAGCAGCAATCTCCCAGCACAGCACTCGGGCTCTGCTAACAGATAGACTGCCTCCTCAAGCGGGACCCTGACCCCCATGCCTCCTGACTGAGAGACACCTCCCAGCAAGGTTCGACAGACACCTCAAGCAGGAGAGCTCCAGCTAGCAACCAGTGGGTGGCCCTCTGGGACGAACAGGAAGGAGCAGGCAGCAATCTGCACTGTTCTGCAGTCTCTACTGGTGATACCTGGGCAAATAAGGTCTAGAGCAGACCTCCAGCAAACTCCAGCAGACTTGCAGTAAAGGGGCCTCACGTTAGAAAGAAAACTAACAGGGGAGGATCTAAGATGGCCTAATAGGAAAAGCTCTGGAGTACAGTTCCCAAGAGAACAATGCAGAGGATGAGTGCCCACCGCATTTCCAAATAAGTTTTCACTGCCCACAGACCCAAAGATTCCAGGGCTGAAAAGTGCTGTGGGATTTCAGTGCGGTGGTTTCAGCCAGTGCTGGGTTGGCACACAGAAACTCACACAAGTCTGGGTGGCTGTTTCGACTGGCACCTGGAGCACCTGGGAGACAGAGCCGCCCATTCAACTGAAAGGGAGGGGGTCTAAGACAGGGAGCCAGGCGATCTGGCTCAGCAGATACCACTCCCACAAAGCAAGCAATCTGAAACGCTCTAGACTGAGAGTTTTACAGCAAGTGCAGCTGGACCCAGAATGGTCCAGCTCAGTCAGGGGAAAGGCATCTGCCACTACCAACAGTCCACCACTACCAAGGCAGTTCACACAGCAGCTGGGCACAGCCTGCGGCAGCTCAGCAATATCTCTACTGGCAGACTGTGACTAGACTACTCCATGCAGGACAGGGCATCTCTGAAAAAAGCCAGCAGCACAACAGGAACTTTAAATAAAGCTGACCTTCCTAGGACAGAGTGCCTGGGAAAAGAGGTGGTTATGAGTTCAGCTGCAGCAGACTTAAAGTTACCTGTCCAGCAGCGCTGCATGGAACAATGGAGCTCCCAGCACAGCACTTGAGCTCCTGTAATGGACAGACTGTCTCCTCAAACAACTCCCTGACCCCCGAATACCCAAAGAGAACCTGATAAAGAAGAGCACAGGCCAACATCTGGTGGGTACCCTTCTGGCACGAGGATAGCAGAAGAAGAAACCAGTGGCAACCCTTGCTGTTGTGCAGACCCCACCAGTGATCCCCAGGTGAGCGGGGTCTGGAGTGGACCTCCAGCAGTCCTGCAGCAGAAAGGCCTGACTGTTAAAAGGAAAACAAAGAAACAGAAAGAAATCGCTTCAACATCAACAAAAAGGATGACCACTCAGAGACACTACATGAAAGTCACCAACTACAAAGACCACAGGTAGATAAAGCCACTAATAAGGGAAGAAACCAGTGCAGAAAGGATGAAACACCAAAAACCAGTACGTCTTTCCACCTACCAGGGATCACAACTCCTCACTAGCTAGGGATCAAAGATGGATGGAGAATGAATCTGATGAACTGACAGAAACAGGCTTCAGGAGGTGGGTAATAACAAATTTCTCAGAGCTAAAAGAGCATGTGCTAACCCAATGCAAAGAAACTAAGAACGTAGAAAAAAGGTTAGATGAGATGCTAACTAGAATAAACAGCTTAGAGAAGGATATAAATGACTTGATGGAGCTGAAAAACGCAGCATGAGAACTTTGCAAAGCATACACAGTTTCAATAGCCAAACAGACCAAGCAGAAGAAAGGATATCAGAGATTGAAGACCAACTCAATGAAATAAAATGAGAAGGCAAGAATAGAGAAAAAAGAGTGAAAAGAAATGAACAAAGCCTCCAAGAAATATGGGATTATGTGAAAAGACCTAATATACACTTGATCGGTGTACCTGAATGTGACTGAGAGAATAAATCCAAGCTGGAAAACACTCTTCAAGATATTATCCAGGAAATCTTCCCCAACCTAGCAAGATAGGCCAACAATCAAGTCCAGGAAATACAGAGAACACCACAAATATATTCCTCAAGAAGAGCAATCCCAAGGCACATAATTGTCAGATTCACCAGCGTTGAAATGAAGAAAAAAATGCTAAGGGCAGCCAGAGAGAAAGGTCGGGTTACCCACAAAGGGAAGCCCTTCAGACTCACAGTGGATCTCTCAGCAGAAAACCTACAAGCCAGAACAGAGTGGGGGCCAATATTCAACATCTTTAAAGAAAAGAACTTTCAACCTAGAATTTCATATCCAGCCAAACTAAGCTTCATAAGCGAAGGAGAAAGAAAATCTGTTATGGACAAGCAATTGCTGAGAGATTTCGGCACCACCAGCCTTGCCTTACAAGAGCTCCTGAAAGAAGCACTAAACAAGGAAAGGAACAATCAGTACCAGCCACTTCAAAAACATACCAAATGGTAAAGACCATCAACACAATGAAGAAAATGTGTCAACTAACGGGCAAAACATCCAGCTAGCATCAAAATGGCAGGATGAAATTCACACATAACAATATTAACCTTAAATGTAAATGGACTAAATGCCCCAATCAAAAGACACAGACTGGCAAATTGGATAAAAAGACAAAACCCATAGGTGTACTGTGTTCAGGAAAAGCATCTGATGTGCAAGGACACACACAGGCTAAAAATAAAGGGATGGGGGAAGATTTATAAAGCAAATGGAGAGCAAAAAAAAGCAGGAGTTGTAATCCTAGTCACTGATAAAATGGACTTTAAACCAACAAAGGTCAAAAGAGACAAAGAAGGACATTACAAAATGGTAAAGAGATCAATGCATCAAGAAGAACTAACTATCCTAGATAGATATGCACCCAATACAGGAGCAGGCAGGTACATAAAGCAAGATCTTAAAGACCTACAAAGAGACTTAGACTCCCACACAATAATACTGGGAGACTAACACTCCACTGTCAATATTAGACCAATGAGACAGAAATTAACAAGGATATCCAGGACTTGAACTCAGATCTGGACCAAGCAGACCTAAGAGATATCTACAGAAATTTTCACCCCAACTCCACAGAATATACATTCTTCTCAGCACCACATGGCACCTACTCTAAAATTGATCACATAATTGGAAGTAAATCACTCCTCAGCAAATGCAAAAGAATGGAAATCATAACAAACAGTCTCCCAAATCATAGTATAATCAAATTAGAACTCAAAATTAAGAAACTAACTCAGAACCACACAACTTCATGGAAACTGAACAACTGCTCCTGAATATCAACTGGATAAACAATGAAATGAAGGCAGAAATAAAGATGTTCTTCAAAACAACCAAGAACAAAGACACGATGTACCAGAATCTCTGGGACAGATTTAAAGTAGTGTCTAGAAGGAAATTTATAGCAATAAGTGCCCATCAGAGAAGAGAGGAAAGATCCAAAATCGACACCCTATAGTCAAAACTGAAAGAGCTAGAGGACCAAAAAACTCAAGATCAAAAAAATTCAAAAACTAGCAGAAGACAAGAAATAACTAAGATCAGAGCAGAACTGAAGGAGATAGAGACACAAAAAATCAATAAATCCAGGAGGTGGTTTTGTGAAATGATCAACAAAATAGAATCCCAGCCAGATCAATAAAAAAGAAAAGGGAGAATAATCAAATAGATGCAATAAAAAATGATAAAGGGGATCTCACCACTGACTCCACAGAAATAGAAACTACAATCAGAGGTTACTACAAACAACTCTATGCATACAAACCATTAAACCTGGAAGAAATGGATAAATTCCTGGACACTTGCACCTTCCCAAGACTAAACCAAGAAGAAGTTGACACCTTGAACAGACCAGTAACAAGGGCTGAAGTTGAGGCAGCAATTAATAGCCTACCAACCCAAAAAAGTCCAGGTCCAGAGGGATTCACAGCCAAATTATACCAGACATACAAAGAGGAGCTGGTACCATTCCTTCTGAAACTATTCCAACCAATCCAAAAAGGGGGAATCCTTCTCAAATTATTTTATGAGACCAACATCATACTGATACCAAAACATGGCAGAGACTCAACAACAAAAAAAACACTTCAGGCCAATATCCATGATGAACATAGAAGTAAAAATCTTCAATAAAATACTGGCAAACTGATTGCAACAGCACATCAAAAAGCTTATCCATAACAATCAAGTAAGCTTCATTCCAGGTATGCAAGGCTGGTTCAACATACGCAAGTCTATAAATGAAATCCACCACATAAACAGAACCAAAGACAAAAACCACATGAATATCTCAATGGATGCAGAGAAGGTCTTCAACAAAATTCGACAGCCCTTTATACTAAAAACTATCAATAAACTAGGTATCAAAGGAACATATCTCAAAATAATAAAAGATATTTACGACAAACCTACAGCTAATATCATACTGAATTGGCAAAAACTGGAAGCATTCCCTTTGAAATCTGGCACTAGACAAGGATGCCCTCTCTCACCACTCCTATTCAATACAGTATTGGAAGTTCTAGCCAGAGCAATTAGGCAATGTAAAAAAAAGGGAATTCAATTAGGAAAAGAGAAAGTCAAATTGTCTCTATTTGCAGATGACATGATTGTATATTTAGAATACCCTATCATCTCAGTTCCAAATCTTCTCAAACTGATAAGCAACTTCAGCAAAGTCTCAGGATATAAAATCAATGTGTAAAAATTACAAGCATTTCTATACACCAATAACAGACTAACAGAGAGCCAAATCATGAGCAAACTCCCATTCACAATTGCTACAAAGAGAATAAAATACCTAGGAACACAGCTAACAAAGGATGTCAAGGACCTCTTCAAGGAGAACTACAAACCACTGCTCAAGGAAATAAGAGAAGACACAAACAAATGGAGAAACATTTCATGCTCATGGTTAGGAAGAATCAATATCATGAAAATGGCCATACTGCCCAAAGTAATTTACAGATTCAACAGTATCCCCATCAAGCTGCCAATGACCTTCTTCATAGAACTGGAAAAAGCCACCTTAAAAAAAACCACCTTCATATGGAACCAAAAGAGAGCCCGCACAGCCAAGACAATCCTAAGCAAAAAGAACAAAGCCAGAGGCATCATGCTACCTGATTGCAAACTATACTACAAATCTGCAGTAATCAAAGCAGCATGGTACAGGTACCAAAACAGATATATAGATCAATGGAACAGAACAGAGGCCTTGGAGGCAATGCCACACATCTACAACCATCTGATCTTTGACAAACCTGACAAAAACAAGCAATGGGGAACAGATTCCCTGTTTAATAAATGGTGTTGGGAAAACTGGCTAGCCATATGCAGAAAACTGAAACTGGACCCCTTTCTGACACCTTACACTAAAATTAACTCCAGATGGATTAAAGACTTAAACATAAGACCTAACATCATAAAAACCCTAGAAGAAAATCTAGGCAAAACCATTCAGGACATAGGCATAGGCAAGGACTTCATGACTAAAACACCAAAAGCATTGGCAACAAAAGCCAAAATAGAGAAATGGGACCTAATTAATCTCCAGAGCTTCTGTACAGCAAAAGAAACAATCATTTGAGTGAACTGGCAACCAACAGAATGGGAAAAAATTTTTGCAATCTACCCATCTGACAAAGGGCTAATATTCAGAATCTACAAAAAACTAAAACAGATTTACAAGGAAAAAAAAAAAAACCCATCCAAAAGTGGGAGAAGCATATGAACAGACACTTTTCAAAAGAAGACATATATAAGACCAACAAACATATGAAAAAATGTTCATCATCACTGATTATTAGAGAAATGCAAATCAAAACCACATTGAGATACAACCTCACACCAGTTAGAATGGTAATCATTAACAAATCTGGAGACAACAGATGCTAGACACGATGTGGAGAAATAGGAACACTTTTACACTGTTGGCGGGACTATAAATTAGTTCAACCATTATGGAAGACAGTGTGATGATTCCTCAAGGATCTAGAACCAGAAATGCCATTTGACCCAGTAATACCATTACTAGGTATATACCAAAAGCATTATAAATCATTCCCTAGAAAGACATATGCACACATATGTTTACTGCAGCACTATTCACAATAGCAAAGACTTGGAACCAACCCAAATGTCCATCAATGATAGACTGGATAAAGAACTTGTAGCACATATACATCATGGAATACTATGCAGTCATAAAAAAAAATGAGTTCATGTCCTTTGCTGGAACTGAATGAAGCTGGAAACCATCATTCTCAGCAAACTTACACAGGAACAGAAAACCAAACACTGCATGTTCTCCCTCATAAGAGGGAGTAGAATAATGAGAACACATGGACATATGGAGGGGAATATCACACACCGGGGCCTATCAGGGGTTGGGGGGCCAGAAGAGGGATAGAATTAAGAGAAATACCTAATGTAGATGATGGGTTGATGGGTGCAGCAAATCACCATGGCACGTATACCTATGTAGCAAATCTGCATGATAAGTATAATAATAATTTTAAAAAAAGAAAATCACAAGAGAAATAAATAAATATAATGTCATCAGAGGTTTTTCTACTCTGAGTAATTCAAATCATTGTGCCTTTGCCTTAAAAAAATGCAGAATACAAAGAGACTTATCATGTGAGTGCAACTTCTTCTGCTTTCTCAAAAAGTTGGCCAGGCTATGGTCTTTGAAAGGGCAACTGAGATAACCATGTGCTCAATACAATTGGAATATATCTAAACCTTTTAATGGTTTACCTATCTTCTCTTTCACACATCAAGTTGAATGGGTAGGGAAAGAGGCTTGGGCTGAAAGACCACATTTATAAAGGTCCATAAACAAGTGAAAAACTATTGAAGGAATTCAATCTGGCTACAGCATGGAATATGAAGAGGAACGGCAGAGAAGAAGTGAGATGTGTAACCTAGGGCCAGATAACAAGGGTCTTACAGGTCACGTTAAGGTGATTAAATTTTATTCTGAGGTTAATGAAGAATCTTTGAAAGATATGAAGCAAGGCTGTGATTTACTTTATAGTAAAATCATTCCTCTATCTGAAATGTGATAATGGACTTGGAAACACTACAAACAAAGAGATCAGTTAGGAAGCAGTGGTGTTAATCAGATAAAAGATGAGTTTAAAAGTTGGGAATCAAAAACCTATTTGAAATTATTTTGCATAAAAACTATCCCTAATCCTCCTGTTACTGGACGGAAAGTATTAAAGACAGAAAGTATTAAATCATTAAATGAGAGATCCTAAAGCAATTTGCTTGTATATAGCTGATGTTTCTCCAGGCAGTGTTTTTAAAAAATTATTTGTCAAAATTTAAAAATCAGGGAATTACATACACTCAGGCACATACATCCAGGTTTGTAGCTTCTCTAGATAATTGGAAGATCTTGTACCCTGGGCCATCATTCCCACAGAGTAATAATGGACTACAGCTGATTAGTGATTACTCCTCTTAAATAGAGCATATACACTCCAGTTTTCTCAAGTCTGCACGACTTTTTACTTTCTTATCAGCATAGATGCCATCTGTTAGTTATCATTGATCACCTCTACACTTCAGTCGTCTATTTCACCTACATTGCCTCTACAGGCATTTGAGATTGGGACTTGTGTATAAAAGAATATGTAAATATTTTACTTAGTTTTTAAAAATGACATTCTGCCATTTAAAATCACATTTTAAAATGATATTCTGCTTTCCGGAGGAAGTCGGTGAGTGACAGAAACACAATATACTAGAGATTTCTGAAAGAAACATGTAAAAGGACATGAGAAAGTTAACAGAATAATCCCTTGTCTATCAATGAAGGAATAATCACAGGCCTTTATTTAATTTGGTACCACATATCACTTGGTATCACTTTGGTCTTATAACAACTCAAATCTCTTCTCTCCAAAAAAGAAAAAGTACATTTTAAAAGTTCAACTTGGATTTAAAACTTCTCAAAATGAACCAAATACAGAATCAGCTATTCATTAGCTAACTACCTTATCTAGATTTTCTTCAGATAAAATTATTTTAAAAGTGATTAAGAGAAAGAACATAATATCAAAATAAAAGAAACACTTGTCATTTTAGATAACCTTACCAGAAAATTGTTCTAATATTTGTACCAACACTATTTTCAATTAAATCTAATTAGCAAACATAATTCCAAGGATATGAAAAGGAACGGCTAAGATAATTGTTTTGAAAGCACTCCAATTAAAGATGAAAATACATAATGCTTTATTTTCACAAAAGAATGTTCCAGTGGCACAGATAAGCAGTCACTTCTGTAACATTTAATGATAGGTATATGAAATGCAAATAGCAACAACCCCCCAAAACCCTACAAATATAAATCTTACTCAGAATATAAAACTTTGTTCATTTTCTCTTATAATATAGTAAATAAAATTTTAAAAATCTTCACATCACAGCCTACAGTGTAAGCATATATTTTACGATATGAACATTGTTATTCATTTTTAAATGAATATTAAAAGTAATTATAGCAAGGGAGCTTTTCACAGTTTATTCCTAGCTAATGCTACATTTAAAAACATGTTTTAAAAACCTAAAGAATAATTTTAAATTACAATAAATACTGTCAAATATTGAACTTTGAAATTCATTTATTTTTTTCCAAAATTCTCTATTTTTTCAAATTTTGAAAAGAAATCACTATTCTTTGTGTATATAACAACACTTTACAGGACTGACTTGTGTAATTTTTTTTACCATTTTGCATAAAAACATGTCATTCATGATTTTCTTTCAAGTGAAAAATAAAAATTTACTAGAAATAGTGCTGTATATCAGAGAGTTGTTCCACAACTAATTTATGATTTTAGGCAAAAGTATATAAAAATGAACCACTTTTATTAGACAAGAGTATGCAGATCAATTTTTATCATCCTTGTTAAATAAATAATTTCATAGACAGCCTTTCAAATCTATCCAAATGAATACCAAGATATATATTAAATGAGGTGATTTTCCTAGGGCAACTGTAAGAAATGAATTGCCAAGTCCAGTCAATTTCTAAAGGCCCTGTGAGCTCTTCCAAACCCAACTCTAGGTTAGTAAAGTAGAATTACCGGGAAGAACTGGAATGTCTACAAATAGAAAGTGAGTTACTGTGTGTACAGACGTCAAAGCAGTAAACTCCTTACTTCTCCAAGGCAGGAGGAATAAAAGAAAGTGCTCATTAAGTAGATATTTCCTTTCATATATACAGCAGTGGGTCAAATGAATAGATGCATAACTGATATCTGAACGAAGACGATTTTAAAGATACAATGATTCATGTCATTAACAAAATTGCTATCAGAATACTGAAAAGATGCAATGAGGGAAAAAAACGTGCTATTAATATTTTAGAAGTGCTTGCTCTGGGAACGCAACATTTACAGCTCCACTAAGAGAAAACAAAAGGAGGCAGTATGAAGACCATGAAACTTAAAACAAGTTTTTGCTGGCCAGTGTAGTGGTACAACAGTATGAAAATCGATAATAAATATTTTATGGCATTCTGGTAGCCACAGAAGCAAAGCACTTGGGTCAAGCTTCCATTTTTTCTCCATTCATATTTTGTTGCTGCTTTTGCTCTTTCCTCCTACTCTGCAACTTCCTTCTTTTATTTTCCCTTTTGCCTATGCTTAATGTCTGTTGTTATCTAAGACTACTATTATCATTCATCTAACGGTTTCTTTCCTTTTTCTAAGCATTGTATAGAAAAAATTTCCAAACTGGCCTGAGATAACCTTGAATCACTGTTGTCAATAATGTTGCCAAACCTAGTTCCATGATTCAGTCCAATTATATATTATGTAAACTCTACTCAGCCTTTAAGCGTTTTTTCCAATTGTCAGTTATCTGATTTCAACCAATTACTTTTCCAAAAAGTTTCTCTAGTTTGGCCAAATATTTGTTCTGTAAAAATTGATCACAATCTATAAATATTTATTAATAGTGTAGCTGATATATAAAAAACTTCCCTTCAGAGGTTCATAGCCTAGCAAGAGTAAAAACTAAGCCCTGTAAAATATGCTAAGTAGTTTATAATGAAAACACATACTGAAAGCTATAATGTAATTAACTAGCAGTTACTATTTGCTCAGCTCCATGTTAAAGACTTTCAAGACACCATTTCATTTTGTCTTCAAGGAAGAGGATTTTGCCTCACTTAAAAAAAAGAGGAAATGAAGATTGTTCAAGGCCACATAAGCCAGTGTATGGCAAAATAGAATTTAAAGCAAGATTTTGTTAATTCCAAACTTAAGGGCTTAAAAGTTACAAGTCTTAAAACAATAGTAATTATGAGGCCAATAGAAAAGGGCTATCCTGTGTTTATGCTGAGTTCATACCCTCCTATATGCATGCATTCTTCCTACCTGAATGCCTTTTTCTGAAATACTATTTTTCTCTCCTTTAGATCTTGCTCCAAACTCACCTCATGATTCCTTTCTGATAATACTGCTTCACTATGATTGCTCTCTCAGAATCTTTGTTTCATTTCTGACATATACTTAGAGTATTAAATTTGAACTCATTTGTAAACATTTTATATAAGTAATTTCACAGGTGAATATTCTATGACTTCAACTAGGTATCAGCACACTTGGAAGTAGGTAGCAAGCCATCATTTCTTTTGACTAGCCTCAGGTACCCAGTGTAGTAATTTACTAATGGTGACATACATGTAATTCTTGGGAGAGCACAAATCAATGATGAAAGAGTTTTACTGAGTAAAAAGCAGTGCTATTGTTTTCCAAATTGTCTTTAGTTACACTCTCCAGAGGCTGATAATAAAACATAATACATTAGATCGAAGAAAAATATAAAAACATTAATAAAATTTTCAAGAAACAAGAAACAATAACACAAAAGCAAACATACCCTTAAGAAAAAAAGAGCCCAAATGTGAAGCAGGATTGACAATATATAACTTCATCTACTCATGTGTACAAATATTTTCATTTCCCTATAGAAAAGACTACTTAACTGTTTAGTAATTAGTCAACTCTCTTGATAGTAAAACAAATAAAAATATACATAATCCTTGATTAGATTCATGGGCATAACTGAATATAAGCATTTCATGTTTTATGTCTTGAATTGGGAATTTTATATAGTAACTGGATTTCTATTATAGATGCTTTTCATATGGCTCTTTATATAAACATTTTTTCTTATGAAACATATACATAGACACTTTGTTGCTGCTCTTGCCCCAGACGATGTTTAAGGCAGCGGCATGTGAAGTGCTACCACAGCCATTAAAGCTAGGAACAATATGCATTCACAATTTCAAAAAATTAAAATATAAAATGAAAAGGCAAAATACGAAGCATCATTTTTACAAAGGTAGTGTGGGGGAGAATTCATTATCTTAACGGTGAGGAACATAATCATTCTTAAAGAGGGAATTAATTTAGAAAAAATATCATTGATAATTCACTTGGGGTGAAAGTAGGATCAAAACGCCTGCTATGTTAGGTTCCAGTACATTCACAAGGCTAGCTAATCTGCTTTGCATCATAAATGATCAAAAATGTAAGGATAGGTGGGTACAGAGAAGAGGACCAACAAGGGAAAGAAAGAAAAAAAAAAATACATCAGCAATATTGAATTAAACGAAGGCAGGACCTGAGGCTGAAGGAAGTGGCCAAGTTAAAATCTGGTGTTAGAGTAACAAAAGGACTTTCAAAACCAGAGATGTCTAATATTTCATGTGAAACTGTTTGTTAGTACTACGCTGAAGTGCTGTCCCTCCAAATCCAGATATTTAATAAAGTGTTATTTTATATGTCTTTTGTGGGTAGATTTTGTAAATAAAGATTAATTTCAAATCTGGGGCAACACAATGTAAAAACATTCAGCAAGCATAGATGACAAGAAGATCTCTAAACTGAATTTATTCAGTTAAAGCAAGAGCTCACAGAAAGCAACAATATCAACAATATGAAATTACTCTTTCACCTCACCTCTGCAAAAAATTCTGTAATTCCAAAGAAATAATTTGAGATTCCAGTGGATCTTACCAATATCTGGAAACAAACAGTCACAGTCTAAGTATATTTGAAATTTACATGAAATTAAAAATATGCCAGTGGTATAATTATAAAACTGTAATTTAAATGTTGATATTCATTAAAAATAGATAAAATAATTACATTGGTATGGTATTGGTCAAAAATAAATCAATAAGAGAAGTACTTAGAATAAATTATCCAGATGGAGATATATACAATATCAGCATATCATTAAAATTCAAGCTTATTTGCTGGCACTAGTTATCTTTGTTCAAAAGAAACTGTAGGTTTCCACTTCAATAAAGGTGAAGTAACACATACCAGGCTTATGTGCCCATCTTATTAAGAAAACCAAAATAACTATATAAAAACACTGTTTTCAGGCAATGAACAAGAGCACTGAACTATGACTCTGAGAGAAGGAAGACAAGAAAATGAATCCCCATGAAGTCTCTAAGAGGTAGCAGAGAAAGAAAGAAGAGCTTTGCTGTCTCACTGAGTTGAGGAGACAGAGATCAATCTGGGGAGGTCAAGGCAGCTAAAATTTGTGGGAAGCAATACTGAGGATACTATGGCTATCCAAATATATATCTCTGAAGATCTGCATAGAGATCCATTTCAGGTATTAACTCACAATTTATCTGCCCGTGTGTGAGTAGAAATCACTTAAGACCAGGAAAAGAATCACTGGAAAACTGAAGGGCAAACTATTTTCAGAGTCCACAGTAGTTCAGAAGACAGATTGCCACCATTTAGAATGAAGAGGTATCCAAGATCACTAGGGACACTGAGAAGAGACCCCAGAGGGTCATGCTTTAGTGAGTGCAGCTGGAGAAAAAAAAACATATTATCTACAAGAGAACAAAGATGAGAATTACAGCCAACTTTTCATAAAAAACTATCAAAGACAATGTAGCATATTTAAAGCACTAAAACAAAACAATGAAATCATCAATTTACCAATCTAATAAAAATATATTTTAATAATTACATTTTTCAGACAAAAACTCAAAAAAATTCTTGCTACTACATAAGAAATGTTAAAGCAATTTCTTAAAGTAGAAGTAAAATTACATAAATAGAAATTTGCATCTATCCAAAACAATAAAGTTATAAAAATGGCAAATGTATGATAAAGCATATAAGGATTCTCAGGTTAAACACTTCAAAAATAATTGTTCAAGGCAAAAACAATCGTTCATTGAAGTGGAATAATGCTAATCAGTGGTTAAACACGAAGAGTTAAACAACATGTTGTCAACTTTAGAATAAACACTAAACAAATAAAACAAAAAGGTACATATGTTGAGACAAGAGTGAAAACAAAATATCATAAAATGTCCATTTTATCTAAAAGAAAGAAAAAGGGATGACAGTAACAACAGCAATAACAAAAAACCATGTAAGAGAAATAGAAAACAAATATCAAGACAGTAGATTTAAACCTACACATAGAAATAATTGCATGGTAAATAAATGGTCTAAACACTCAATTAAAAGGTAGAGCTTGTCAAATTGAATTAAAAAAAAAAAAACTATTTACCATCTAACCAGAAAAAGTACTTTAAATATGAAAAAAAAAATAGATTAAAAGTAAAGGGTGAAAGTTAAGTAATAGGTAAACGCTAATCAAAAGAAAGCTGGAATGTCTATATTAATACCAGAAAAGAAGTTCTGAGAGCAATGAGTAATATTAATACAAAGAAGAGAGTTACATAGTGATAAAAGGGTCAATTCATTAGTTCTAAAAGTTCATGCATTTAATAAATACCTTTAAGATACATGAAACAAAAGCTTACATAACTTAAATAGAACTAGAAAAAGACAAATTAGAGACTTCCACGTCTTTCTTAGCAATTGATAAAACAAGTAGTACAGAAGACTTAATACTGACTTGATACTGACTATACTGACTTAATACTTAACTGACTTGATCTAATTAGACCATTCCATGTTTTTAAAGTACATGTGGAACAATCACCAAGATGGGTCATAAAAAAATCTTAATAAACTTAAAAGATTAAAATTATATGAAGTATGTTTTGCTCACCATAACAGAATTGAATTATAAATCAATAACAGATATGAAAAAATCTCAAATATTAGAATCCCAATACTCTTTCAAATGACACATGGATCAACAGAATTATAATAGAAATTAGAAAACATTTGATTGAAAGAAAATGAACATACATCATGTCACAATTTATGGAAATCAATTAAGTCAGCGCTCGGGAGAAAATAGCCTTAAATGCTCATGTTACGGAAAAAAAAAAAAAAAAAAAAAAAAACCTCTTACATAATCTTGCTTAAGCTTCAACCTTAAGGAAGTTAAAAAAAAAGAGAGAGAGAGAAAATTATACCCTAAAATAAACAGAAAGAAGAAAATAAAGGGAAAGTAGAAATCTATGAAATTAAAAAATGGACAAACAATACAGAAAATCAATAAAACCAAAAGCTGGTTCTTTAAAAGGTTACCAAACAATTGGTAACTCTCTAACTTGATTAATTAAGAAAAAAAAAATAAGAGAGAAGCAATCCCTCAGATTATACAAGCATCAAAAGCATAAGGGGAAAATATTATGAACAACAAATGCCAATGTATTCAATAACTTAGATGAAACAAAAAAATCCTTGAAATATGTGACTCAACATAAAATAGGTAATACAAATATCCATTACCAAAGAAAGATGTTAAACTTAAGTTTAAAAGACTTTTCAAAACAAAATTTCAAGCCATGATAGCCTCACTGGGAAGTCTATCAAACATTTAAGAAAAAAAAGAAAATCAATTCAACATAAATTTTTTTCAGAAAATTGAAGAGGAAGGACATTTCCCAACTCATATGATGAAGCCAACGTTAAACTAATTCAAAACCAATAACATTACAATAAAGGAAAACTAGAAATCAATGTCTCTTATAATCACAGATATAAAATAAGTCCTTAACAATATTTAATTTCCCAATATATAAAATACATAATAATAAAACATAGCCAAGTGGATGCAAGGTGGGCTCATTATTCAAAAAATAATATTATGTAATTCCCCATCATAATACACTAAAAAAGAAGAGAAAAATATGATCATCTCAATAGATGTCAAAAAGCATTTCACAGAATTTGACACCTATTCATGATAAATATATTAAGCAAATTAGAAGGCAACTTCTCAATCTTATACATGGCATCCATTATGGACCACAGTACATCCCCCTATGGGACTGCATTTGCAGATAGGGTCTTTGAGGGCATAATTAAGGTTAAATAAGGTAGCAAGTGTGGGGCCCTAATTTGATAGGATTAGTGTCCTTATAAAGAAAGGAAGAGACACAGTGTGTGCTTGCAGGCGCCAGTGCTCTCTCTCCTTATGAGAAAATAAATTTCCATTATTTAACCCACCCAGTCAGTGATATTCTTTACAGCAGCCTGGGAAGACTAATATAGCATCACTGAAAAGCCTACAGTTAACATCCTTCTTTATATGGTGAAATAGCGAAAGTACTGAATGCTTTCTAAGATAAGAAACAAAAAAGGATGTCTGCTATTGCCACTTATATATTAAATATATATTTTACTGGATATCTAAGCCAGTAAAAGAAAGCAGGAAAAAAAGGCATACAGTTTGAAAAGAAAGGAAAATATATATTTTTTCCAGAAAATAATTTGTCCATAATTGTCCATGAAGAAAACACTGAGGAATCCACACAAAGGTACTGGAACTAATAAATGAGTTTACCAGTTTTACAGGACACAAAGTCTACATAGAAAAATTAAAAGTGACATTTATGTATACTAACAACAAAAATTAGAAATTAATTGTTATTATATATATTTTTGGAGACAGGTTTGCCATGTTACTCAGGCTGGTGTCAAACTATTGAGCTCAAAGACAACCACCTACCTCAGCCTCCCAAACTGTTAAGGGATTACAAGCGTGGGCCCCTGCTCCCAGCCAGAAATTAAAAATTTTTAAGCGCCACTTCAAATGACACCAAAATATGAAGTTTTTGAATAATTGTTTTAAATATATGCTAGTCTTGTGCCCTGCAAGTAACAAAGCTTTGCTGACACAAGTCAAAAATGACATAAATAAGTGAAAAGACAACAACTGAGTCTTCAGGTTTATGAAATACACAATATTGTTACAAGGTCAATTCTCCCCAAATTGTTCTATTGACCAACAAAATCAAAATTAAAATTTCAGCAGGCTTTTTTTTTGTAGAAGTTGGCATATTGTTCTTTTTTTTTTTTTTCTTTTTTGAGACGGAGTTTCGCTCTTGTTACCCAGGCTGGAGTGCAATGGCGCGATCTCGGCTCATCGCAACCTTCGCCTCCTGGGTTCAGGCAATTCTCCTGCCTCAGCCTCCTGAGTAGCTGGGATTACAGGCACGCGCCACCATGCCCAGCTAATGTTTTGTATTTTTAGTAGAGACGGGGTTTCACCATTTTGACCAGGATGGTCTCGATCTCTTGACCTCGTGATCCACCCACCTCCGCCTCCCAAAGTGCTGGGATTACAGGCGTGAGCCACCATGCCCGGCCTGGCATATTGTTCTTATAATTTATGTGGAAATACAAAGGACATTAGTCATTAAGGAAATGCAAATTAAAATCACTATACACCCAATTGCTAAAATTTTTAGAACTGGCCATACTAAGTGTTAACAAGCATGTAAAACAGCTAGAATTCTCATACATTGCTAGTAGAAATACAAAATGGTTCAGACATTTAAGAAAACAATTTGGCAGTTTTTTTTATAAAGTTACACAAGCAAACATACACTTACTTCAACTCATCAATCTCACTTCTTTGTAATTTTCCCTAAAATAAAAACTTATATCCATGCATGGACCTGTATGAGAATGTTCATAACAGCTTTATTCAGAAAAGTCAAAAACTCAGCTAAATTCATGATACCCAAATGTCCATACGTGGATAAACAAGTTGTGGTATAGCCATAAAACTGATTACTACTCAGCAATAAAAAGGAAGAAACTACTTGAACGGGAGCAACGTAGATGAATCTCACAAGCATTATGTTGCGTGAAAAAAGCCAGACATAAAAGACTATCTGCTGTAGCCTTTTATGCAAAATCTAAATTGTTGTGCAGAAAGCAGATCAGTAGTTGCCAGAGGTCAGCCGTAGAAGAGGAGGACTGACTGCAAAGTCACTGAGAAAGATTGTTACAGAGAAGGAAATATTCTCTACCTGAATGTAGTGGTGGTTATGTACCTATTAATGCATGCATACATATTATAGTTCAACAAAGGTGATTACAAAAATAAGAAGAAACTGTATTGAAATGTGTAAAATAATTAGTGAGAAAAAAGTCATAGATATTTCACTGGAGATGGAAGGAAGGTAAGAAGAAAACCCCATTCATTTAGTTTGTAGCTCTTGAACAACATCCTCTGAAGGCACATCATGGAATAGCTAAACTTTCTCAGAACATAGTTTAAAAACATCTATTATAACTGAAGCATTTTAAAGCAATGGAAGGCTGTGCTATTCATTAAGGGTACTAGTCATTGGAAGGAAAACAGTAAACTTTTGCCTTAAATTATATATAAGAAAACATTCCTTATAGATTTAAACATAAGCATCAAACTTCAAAAAGTAGCTGAATAAAAATTTATATAATTTATCTTATAACTTTATATAGGAAAAGCTTTTGTAAGCATGGCTCCATGGCCACAAACCAGAAATAAGGACAAGATACACAGATACTGAGAGGAAATAAAAATAAAATTAAAATTGACAATTTACAGCAAAAGACTAAAATATAAATGAGATAAATTATTAATATCCTTAATAAATAGAAAGAGTTACTACATAGAAATAAGAGAAAGAGGCCTGCACTAATTAAAAAAAAAATAAGAAAAAGATATTCACAAAAGAAATGCAATGGCCACTAAATATTTCAAAATGTATTCAATGTCAATAAATAAAACA